GACAGCCCTCGAGATCACTTAAGTCCTCCCTGTCCGGGTACATAGTAGAGCGATATCTGGGAACAGCGGGTTGCCAGTGCCTGAAGTATTGCGTTAGGATTAAAATTAAGCTTTCCCTAGACACTGTTTCTCACTAGTGAATCATCTCTATCCTAGCCTATCAATTGCTTGGTGTCCTTGGATGAACCGGAGGAAGATCTGACCACACACGTTCCCTTGGATTCGATACCCTTGGAATACTCTGAGGGGAAGTGCTACATCGGTATATCCGTGCGCTTGCGGATTATCTGTAACCGTTTCAAATACCAACACCATGTTCAAATTGTGAAAAAACAGGTATAATATCTATAGCTATGTATTATACGAAAATTGTAGTTGTAATTTATTTATTATTACCTTGGAAGCATCTTGTTTCTTTCCTTAAATTAAAAGGAAAAAAAATATCCCCTCTAGCCATCTGTCCTGAAGTGTGAACAACATACTAGGTTGGGATAACAATTCCTTGAAGGTCTTGCATTATTTATACTGTGGGTTATCAGTAATGGGCCACAAGCAAACCCCATCAAAGATCAACCTTCATCGATGATGGGCTTCACAGTTATTTTTGTCAGGCTGTTATACCTGGCCCGTCACCGATGACCATGACCCTCATCGGTGATGGATTTTCGTTGTGGCCTATTATCAATTATCTTGGACAGACCGCAACAAAACCCCATCACTGATGAGGGACGGGCCTGGCCCCGAGGACTCACATACTGCCTCTCTCGGTGCCTATGTGATAGAGTTCTTTGAGGTCTGATAAAGATGAATATCTCTATAACAGGCCGCACGACTCCATCACAGATTGGTCGATTTGGATGTCCGGTGCAGTTTTGTACTAGTAATATCAACATTATAATTACTCTAGAGGTGTGGTTAGTCCATTGTTCCATTTCTTATTATACCTTTCTGTTCCAGTTTAACCTGACTGCAATCTATTTTGTTTTAATTGCTGCTCCTTCATGATATCAAAGCTCGGTTAACCGTTACATATGAAAGAAATGGATGAATTATTTAATGTGGTGCAAGAATTTTGTGATATTGAAGGTGTTCCAGTTCCAAACATGTACGAAGAAATACTGGTAAGTAGGGGTGAAAACGGTACGGAAATTTCCGAGAATTCCGGCAACCGTTTCCGGTTTGCACCGACCGTTTCAATCGGTATCGGTAATTGTCGGTATCGGAAATGGAAACGGTAATCTCTTTCGGAAATGGTAGCGGAAATGATATGGGGTTTTTTCCGACCGTTTTGTCGGTAACTGTTTTTTATCGGTAATTTCCGTCAAATTTCCGACAAAATTCCGAAGAAGGAAGTCGGCTAGGCCTGGCTAGCAGGAGGAGGAGCCCATTAGGCATTAAGGAGCAGCCCATTCCGAATAAAGAAGCCAACTAGGCCTGACCGCATCGTCGTCTTCATCGGCGCTGGGGCACCGCCGCGCCATGTTGGGCGCCGCCACCAGGTCGCCGACGCCGGCCGCAACCTCCTTCGCCCCGACGGCCTCCGTCGCAGCCGGCCACCTTCCCTCCCCCATGCTCCACCGCCGGCTTCCGTGCCACCGAGCCAAGCGCCGAGCGCCGCCGCACCGCCCCAGCCTCCTCCTCCCCACCGATGCCGCCCCTTTCTCCTCTCTCCTTCCCCCACCGCCGCCCTGCGCCAGGCCGCCATCTCCGGCGCCTCTCTCCTCTCGGGCGCGCGTGAAGGAGCCAAAGGCAGAGAAGAGAACGAGAGAGAAAACAGAGAAGAAATCGAGAGAGCAGGAAAAGGAACCGAGAGAAGGGAAGGATAAGAGAGAGAGAAAAAATAAAAGAAAGAGAGGAAAAGAAAGACTGTGGGATCCACTGGCGGGCCCCACCATCTTGACTCCTCTCTGTGATCGACCTGGAAATACCAAAAAGTCTAGTTTAGCATGAAACTTAATTACAACAGTAGTTATACAGTGTCAACATAAAAGTTCTTATGCAATGTGCCACTGTAGGACGATGATATAGCTATGTCAATTGATGATGAAATAATGAATGATGTTTGACAAGGAGCTGATCAGCTGAAGCCATGCCAGCTTGTGAGCTTGGTGTTCTCGAAGACTTCAAATCTATATCCTAAAAAAAGTCGGACAATATTAGTTATGCTGTAATCCTATCATGTAAGCCACATTGTATGCTTTAGCCACATTGATGTTGAAGTATCATTGAACTTTATTTATATTATTTATCAATCTTATTGTCAACTTATTAATCATCATATAACGGTGTTGTGTGGCAGCGTAATGATGCAAGGGTGAAATTATAAGGTCATCTTCATACATAGTTAAATGCGGGATGATACCACAGTTCGCTGTTTCCGACATGAATTTTCGACTTCCGTCCGATATCGGTATATTCCCGTTCCGACGGTTCCGTTTCCGAGATACCGATATAACCGATATCGTTACCGTTTCCGAGTATACCGTTCCGATTCCATTTTCGAGAAAATAAAATGAAAATGGAAATGGTAGAGGGTTTTTCCGACCGTTTCCGACCGTTTTCATCCCTACTGGTAAGGGGTCATTCGAGGCCGTTAACTAGAGTGACACATTGAAATGCCACAATTCATCTAAAATCACAAAGAACCGAATAACTACTTTATTTGCAATGTTCGCATTGTTTTATTAGTGCTCTCTTGACATCGTGGAGTAATTGCGGGTTTGGTAAAACTAAAATTTTGCTGAAAGAATATGTAGCGAGTATTAATTTAATTAGTTGATTTCCCACGTTTTGCTTGTGGGATTACTAATTAGTTTTGAATATGTTTTTTTTTTGTTAACAATCGAGTTAGGAGAAAAAGGATATTAGTTATTAACAACTGGTTTGTCAAACCATATCTCAAGAAAAATAAATTTAATAGATCATGTAGCAGATTGTAGATGAAATATTAAATTGTTGCGTAAGATTTGCATCGTAAGAAGCAAGAGGTAGGAAAATTGATGAAAAGTTTGTGTTTAATTATTAGTACTAATCACGAAACAAAATAAATGATATACCTCACTTTGATGGGAGATATATGGATGGAAATATGTTAAGTATTATAAAAATAATAGATATCTATGTTAAAATATTGTGGAAATGATACGAGGGGGTGTTGATTGGATTTGCTTGCATATTGATTCGTAGAATTTGATACAATATAGATGATGTGCATGCTTGCATTAGCTTTGATATGTAATTATTACTAATAGATGATGAGGTGGTATGTTTGTATGTTAAGTTTTAGGCTTAGTGGGTTGTAACTATATAAAATGTACAGATTAGAGGCCGAAAGTCAGACAACGACACCTTGCTCATGTAGCGCCTATTTTATGATAATGATTTCATTTTAAATGCATTGTTTCACAAATTATCATTTCTATCAGACAAAATAAACAACAGAAATAGACATTAATATCCATTCCATTTATCATTTCTCGAAAAGAAAACAAAGATTACAACGACACGATGCAGTTGCTGTCTTAAGCCTAGTTAAAACACCCCCTTGTCTCCACCTAGCCGATCCACCGAGTCCTAAGAGAGCAGTGAAGACTGTCTGCTCGGCGCCATAGAACACAGTAGACGAGGACGCGTTGCGGCACGAGAACAGACCGGCGAGCGACCGACCATGGCGTTTGCTGCTCTGGCCTCGCTCGCTATGGTTGCCAGCTGCTCTGCCACGGGTAGAGCTGCTGCGGCAGTTGACGTAATGCAGGGAATCACTTCTGCCAAGCGTGCTGTTCCTCCTTCCTTGACCCTTCTGTCTTGCTGCTCCGTCCATAATGCAGGGAATCACTTCCACAAACTGGGAGGGCCTGAGCCCACCTAGGATCAATCTGTATTATTACTTTCTGTTTTGACGCCATACACTGATCCTTCAATTATTTTCGGGTCTTCTTATGTGTAAGCAAAGAACTCATTAGCAGATTCACTACGACTGTAAAAAGTGAAAAATGCGTGTTACTTCAGAAAGCATGAAAAAAAATGTAAGCTGCAATGTGTTGGTAATGTTCGTGGGTACAAAATATGCAGACATCGATAGTCCTGCCCGTTAGTATATTTCAAACTTTTTCAGCCATAGTAAGTAGAGCTAATAGCATGCGGCCCAACAAGTGAGATGGACAAGTTCCTATTGAAGTATTTCGAAATGTGGTTGTTTAAATCTTTGATTATGGAAAAAAAGTTGAAGTTCCCCAACACTGCAATGTGCTCATCTCAGGTTAAAGGTACAGTAAGAAATAAAGGATTGATCCACAGTCAGCATTTGATTTAGCCTATTTGACATCTCGAATCAGCTCAGTAGAAGAAAAAAGAAAAGGCATGCTGCTGATTATGTCCAGACATTTAATATTTTTTTTTCACTCACAATAGGTGGAGAAAGGCTAAGTATGTGACACAGCCGAAATAACCCCCCCAAAACCTCTATGTTTCTGAGGGCAAGAAATAGTTAAGAAAAAAAAAAGAAGAAACAGAGTTCATACATGCAAGCATTACAAGAAAAGGAGTACCAATACAAGTAAGAACGGCTAGATTTTGGAGGAAATACTTATAACACAAGCATGCCTTTAAAAAATCGCAGAAAAAAGTGCACGCAAGAGGAAGAAAGAAAGACCCGTTCGAATACCTTTGGCCTTGATCAACGAGATGTTCTATCTCTGAAGATGTTGACACAATTATTGGATCTTTCACCCACCTACTGCTGGTGACGAAAAGGTTTCAAATCTTCAACTGAAGGAAATGTAAGACAAACAACGGTGTAGTACAGTTTTGCTCACATTTTGTAGTACAATGGCCAGGCAAAACTCAATCACCAAGCCCTTGGTTTTATAGAACGGAAAAGGTAAGCAGATCCCATTGGTGCAGTAGATAGGGTCCATGCATGCACTGGTTGAAGGAAGCATGGGCCTCTGGCTGCTGCAAACGTAGTGAATGAAGTTGCACTAAACTACCAGTCTGAACCATTCTGAAACTTGTGTGCCTCTTTGATTTTCCAGGAACATAGGAATGGCAAATGTCACAGAGCAATTAACTGCAGCGTGCAGGCTACAGTTACTGCGACATTTCGGCAATGCATTTCTTGTTCAGTTCCTACTGCTCACATACCACTTCAGTTTTGTTTCACAAACTGGCAAGTGGCTACCAATTACAAAATCGATCTCTCTTTCTATTAGGTCCTAAAATTCTCTAGAGACCCAACTATAGATAAACCAACCCAGCTAATGAACCATAGATAGTACCATGTAAGTTGAAACTACCCAGGGTGAAAGGAACCGAACTAGCCAGTCCAATTGCACAAATCAACACGGAACTGATCTAACCTAGCACACCATGTTGGTGTAACGGTGTTACAACCAATGTAAGAGATCCTAAAGTCAAATATGTTCATTATCACAATAGAGCATGAAATCAGGGTAGTGATCTCAGGCTTGCTGCCCGTGCGGACCATAATGAATCTGGTGTAGTTGTGCAGAACGATATGACTTATGCTAGGAGGCATCATTATGTGGCAACTCGCAAGCAGCCATCTGATTCTTTGACTTCACCTTCCCAAGCATCTCAGCTACTGTCCTGCAGCGACATTGCTTTCCAGGACGGATGACATCCCCATAGACAGCCATTTCAATCACATCAAGTTCTTTATCTGACAAAGAAAAAACACTATCAGATTAAATTTGCATGTCATACGAAACTACCATGGTAGGTTTTTCATGCTAAATAGAGTTGGCACAACAGTTACGTTCGATTAGAGATTCAGTTGGATCTCCTGATTCAGGAATGAGAAGACAACTTAAGATATAAAAATAAATAAGAGCAGTCCATGGCCCTATTTGGGGGAGCTTAAGATTCTAAGAATCTGCTGGTTAGTAGCTAGCTTCCGAGAATCTGGAGAAGCTGGGTTTTCCAGCTTCTGGATTCTAGTTCCGGATTCTACAATTACAGATTCTCAGAATCTGGGTAACAATCTGGACTGTTTGGGGGCTGCAGCAGCTATAAGCTACCCCAAATAGGTCCCATGTATGTTATTTGTTGAAACTTTTTATCCTCTGGCCAAATCAGCATAGTTTGCCAAAACAAACGCATGAAATAGATATTATCTGAAATTACTTGTTTATTTTTACAAAGTCATGATTGTTTTGAAGTTTTATGGCTAGTTCAAAAAGTACAATTTTATAGCACCTTGCTTATAGACAAATGCATCATGATCCTAATTATTCACAGTAACAAAGCAATTTTTCGAAGCAATTGTTAATAATGGAATGTACAATGAACAATTCTAGAGAAAAATTGTAATCTAGCTCCATAGAATTGTTCTCAGATGGCTCAAAGGTAACTTGTTTTATATTGATAACAGTACGGTGCAACATCCCCACCTCTGCAAATTTAATTTCACTATTTCAAAGAACATCGAAACATACACAGCCATTAATACGTGGATAACGCATAACAGAACATCTATTACCATCCATCTATACCATTTATAATTGCTAAGGGAGCAGCATACCAATGGACATATAAGCATGTACAGCAGACCAATGACATTATGAAAAATCATGCATTGCATATTGCAAGCTGTTTATTCTGTTAAACATAAGAAATCAGAGGGACTACTACACATACATTATAAAGATCCATGGGAGCAAATGAATCGCAATATCGACATACTCACCAGTGAACTTGATATCACAAGAAAATCCCTGCATTTCTGCCTGCTCTATCCATGCTTTATCAGATTTTGACCGATTCACCCTTGTCTGAAGAATCTGGCAATTGTCAACAGTAGACTCCCCTCCTAAAGCATGACAAAAAATTCAATTCCAGTTCCAGAACAATCAACATGAGAAAATCTGAGTATAATGGAAAACAAATTGTACAAATAACAGAGAAATAGACAAAGGATTGGAAGATGACTTTGTTACAAACCAAGTGTCCAACCTACAAAGTAAAGTAGGGCCAGCACTGATCCCAAATTTAGCACAATTTGGAAGAATAGGCATCAATTTTCAGACCTGGTAATTATAAACTAAGGGATGCTAACAGCAGAACAGTAAAACATATCAGTATAAAGCAGGGAATCTTAATAGCATCAAAGACAATATTCTAAGCATTGAATCGTAAAGGGCCTTTCTCATCCGCAAAAGATAGTTTCCGGGATGAGGGTCTTGCCCATTTTTCAGTTGGACCCTTCCGCAACTTATGTGAGGTCCAACAATCTCGCCTTGTTTGTTCTCCTTAACCATACAACTACAGACTCTCGGATCAAAGACCCCATATCCACCCACCATTTATGGCGTTCACACAGTAATGTTCTCATGCCAATTTGTTGAAACAAAATGACTTTTCATCCCAAAAACTAGCCTATGAAGTGGGACTGTTCCAACATCAATATCAGATTTTATTTCGGTAAAGCCAATAAATAGTACGGAGTATGTGTGCGGTTACCAAAGGAGTGAAGTAGAACTGTTAAAACTTGCAGTTTTGTATAGGCATTAGTTTGAAAACCACAGGTGCGCTCCATATATGGTATTATGTTAACAATTCATAGTTAAATTAGACAAGCAAAGGCTATATAAGTACCAAGTACGCTGATTTAAAACCAAGTTGTGTCAGCCTTTATAACAAATAACTGATCTGAACCAAGTCTGAGGAGAAGGGGATTGGGGAGATTGGGGAGATTGGGAAGATACGCAAAACGAGGTAAGCCATTAGCACATGATTAATTGAGTATTAACTATTTTAAACTTCAAAAATGGATTAATATGATTTTTTAAAGCAACTTTCCTATAGAAATTTTTTGTAAAAAACACACCGTTTAACAATTTGGGAAGCATGCGCGCGGAAAACGAGATGCTTTTCTCTCTCAATCCCCCAGATTGCCCAGGAACGAACGATGCCTAGTTTAATATTCAATAATACTGATATGAATACTCACAAGTGATAGAAATCCAAAGAAAAATACATGTTTCTTGCTTAACATGGATTGCTAAATGTTACATGATATTGTTGCACAGCCATCTTTATTGATTGGAGAAGGCATCTCCCCCTAATTTAACTAAACATAAATGATTTACTTAGTAAAAAAACAAAAACATACGGCATTACAGATTCCAATTATCATCTACTGACCCACAGGAGATTAGGCTAAAATTTCTCCATCTGAACTCACCTGTGTACTCATATCCGATTTTAAACATCCCAACCTTAATCTAAATGTTCCTCTGAATAAAACAAAATTAGTGCTCATCTGCGGATGAACTCAACTCAGCGACAACTCCTCCAATACTTGATCGAGCAAAAATAGTCCGAGTATCCAACATTGCAACTACACCGCGGCAAGCAAACGCATCAGAATCCTACAGATACGAACTTGACGGATCGACCACCACCTCTCCAAGCAAGAAACGGAAAACTTGAGGATTCTCCCTAAATCGAGTGGGCAAGAAGGAGGGGACGCACCTTTGGAGAAGGGGACGATGTGGTCGTACTCGTAGCAGAGGCAGCCGTGGCAGCTCCAGAAGCGGCGGCACACGACGTTGCCGGCGGCGTCCTGCCGCCACCGCTCCGGGTGCCGGCCCATCACCACCGCCGCCTTCCGCCAGCACGCCGACCGGGTCTTCTCGTCGAAGGACCTCGGCCGCTCCTTCTCCCTCGCCGCCGAGCTCCCGCCGCCGGTCCCCTCGCCGTCGAGGTCGCGGCGGGGAGAGGAGGGAGCCATTCACCCCAGCCGCCGCAGCTTTACTTTCGGCTGGTATATTCGCGTTTTCATTTTTTTTTAAGTCCAAATACCCCCTATGATTTGAAAACGTCGATGCAGCACCCTGAACTCTAATCCTATCCTATGATATCGTTTATATAACACTTAAAATGGTTTTGCATAGTAGTTTTTATTTAATTTACATAATCGTTGGATGAGTATGATTATGTGATAAAGGGGTGAAAACGGGTCGGGTTCGATCAGATTTCACCCTTACAAATGGATGATTAATATAATACTGATATGACATCACTATAGAATATAAATTGATAACCGATGATTGACAGTATGTGAACATGCCATACCAGTTATCCAAAACCTGAGCGTAGCTCTGTTGGTATGTTCCAAAACTGCTTGTTTAAGATTTGAGGACCACTCATCGACTCACGGACCTCACAGGGGTTTTTCCCGTTTCCTGAGTCAACTTCGGTTGGTCCTAGTTAGGTAATAGGGTACATATACGTGCGTGTTCGGTGGTACTGTATGTTTCCCGTACAGTGAGGCATAGGTCCTCGAATCTCTTTCCTAACGTGTGTTAGGGACGCGCACGCGTGTGTGCGTGCGTTGTGGTGTGAGTGTTGTGTGTGTTCGTGTGCGTTCTGATTTGTACCCTCTCAAAAAAAAAAAAAACAAAACCACTATCAAAGTAACTCAGAGGTAATTTGAACGGTTTAGGAGGCTAAATCTCCGATTTTAAAGTTTATGGTGCTGGACAAACTTCTATCAAGCCGGTGCATCGGCAATCTCTGGATCCTCTAGCCGGTGTTGCATCCTTGCATCTGCTTCAATCTAGTCATTAAGGCAAAAGATTGCCTGTCAGGTGCAAGGCATGACCTCTATTCTTCAATAATTTTTCCAACCTCGCTAATTGCAAGCTCTGAAGAGATAGAAGAAGTTGGAACCAATCCAATAGAATGTCATGTGCAAAGTGAGCTAGCACAGGAAGAGTCCATTCTCTCTTAATTTCCACCACTCTTGGAGATCGAAATTTTCACGATCCAGTGTTTGACCATGTTCTGTGTGGATTAGTGTTAAGGTAATGGTTAAGCTCTACGTCTGAGTTCCAATTTGACCTGCTACCTGATGAGGAGGCTTGTTCCTTGCCCCTGATCTTCTTCCACAAATTCATCGCACTTGATTTACTTTGCTTTTTTTTTTGTGGGGTTTTCTTAGGCACCCGACGAGCAACACTTAGCTCAGTCTGGTACAGACGGAAAACCCTGAACAACTCATCTCTAGCATGTTGATAAGCTTTAGAATAATCAAGACCCATTGCATCACTATTGGTATGAAAGCAGCCTCCACAACCTCCAACTTTTTATGAGGATCAAGTACCAAAGCAAAACAATAAAGGTGTGGAATAGCAGTGAAGTATTTGAGAAATTTTTCTTCCATGGGTTGAACAACATAAGCTAAAACTCTGTCATGTCGGTTTTCTTGAAACACAAAGGACAATTTCCAAATACATTCAAGCACCTTACAAAGAAGTAGGATAGTAAATTCTAGATAGTAGGACTGTAGTTTTATAAAAAGGCTTTAGAAATATATGCAGACGTGTTGCTATGTCCCATTCTCCCTTAGTAAGAAACAAAATCTCACCATCACCATCCTCATCAGTATCATTACTTCTAAAGTGCAATGAATCGATGAAAACAGAAATTATTTTCTCATACCCTTTCAGTTGATGTAGCATGAGGTATGTTGTGTTCCACCTATGTTTCACATCAATGCCAAACATCCTCACAAGTTTATTCTTTGCTCGGCAATAGTCTTGGAACATCTCCTTCATCACTAGCTGATCCCCAACAATAAAAACAGCTTAATGGATCTTGTTGAGTAAATTAGTAACAACAGTAATCCTGCATAGACAATAAATTCCTTGTCATAGATGCATTAAAATTGATAAATTATTTACACTAAAAAAATCAATAAATTCTCAACGACTCCTAATACATGCTTGCACAGTCAGGTTGATGATGTGGCAGATGCATCTATGATGGATAACATAACCTCCAATGTAGCTTTACAAATTTGTCTCCAAAATCGTCATGGCCGTTGTATTTGCTGATGCATTGTCAAGAGTAATAGAAACCACCCTAGATTCTAAATTGAATTCTTGTAGTACATCAAGTACAACACTAAGATAAGAGGTTCTTTGGTGCTTGGATATCCAAATGTCATATGTCACAGAAAAAGGAAAGCTAACAGTACTGAATGAGCATTTCAACTCATCCAACCTAGAACGATATAACACAACAATATTGTTCTTGGTAGTTTTCCTTGAAACTTGGGTGTACTGTGGACAAAAAGCATTTCGGATCATCCTCTGAAATTTTTTGCTTTTGCCCATCCTAATCGGTAGCTCCTCAGAAACTATGTAACAAGCAATTTCATCTCGAGCTACTCGTGGCTCATAGGTCCATGTACTTACAGAACCATTGGGTCCGGAGCTCAGTTATGTCTGCCAGGCTCCTGCCGATGCTTTATCCTTGAGGTGCGTCAAATAATGTCGGTTTTGATGTCCTGTTCCTAAACTAGAAGATGGGGATAAAGTTTTTCCACAGTGTTTACAGGTAGCACGTGTTACTAGTTGACCGTCCACCTTACCCTTATTTTTTCTATGTGTTGCCAACAATCCGCTCTCCCTGCAGATGGTGTGGATGGCTCGGCCTTGCCTCCCGGCAAAGACAAGACCGTGTCGTCATTGGCCTCGATGATGGACTGTTCCGTAGGATCATCCCCATCTCCCTCCAGACCATCCATATGGCGGTTATCCATCCCATAGTCATCCATACCAGGAGATAGTTGGCGGGCATCGACCGACCTACGGGAAGGACCAGGCGAGCATTGGCGGCGCCTTTGCGAGGGTCTCGACGAGGTTGACCTCCGACGAGTATCGCCCCACATTTTTGCTGTGGAAAGGAAATAACTATGTTGCTCTGTTTATTTGTGGTGCATTTTTCTTTTATGATAGGAAGAAGAAGAGGAGGAGGAATTTATAAAACAAATTGCCCTCATGAGCTAGTTGTTTCTCGTTGCTCTTGCACACAACACACAACACATTTGCTGCCTACGGGCTCCACAGAGGCACATGGCGCAGCCAATCGCCTCACCATGCCCATGCAGCTTCTCTGCCACTCTGCCTCTGGCAACTGGAGGTCTGGCCCTCTACTCGTCTACGCCTGCACTGCTACACCAGGCGACCCGGCGTATATGTCCTTCGCGCCGGTGTGGCATGGTCTAAACTCAAGTCGTCCCATCTCCATCTCAATCCGAGGCAGGCGCCAGCCTTTCTTCACACATCCGCGGCGTCGTGCGGTCGTGCGGTCGTGGCGAGGCGGCGAATGGCGATGGCAGGATGCAGACGGACAGCAGCGGGGCAGGACAGGATCAACCAAGCAAGGGAATCACAGGTACCCAGCCTTCCCAGTCCTTCATACTACCTACTACCTAGTCCTAGTACTAGTCCGAGCTCTTCGTTTTTCCAGCGGTAAATCACAAGTGGTGCCCAGCGCCGCGCGTCTGCATCCGTTCGGCCGTCCCTGTCCTCGGTACTCGACCAGTCGACCTTGCAGTGACAGCAGTGGACTAGTGGTAGCGCAGTTGACGGACGCTTTGATTCATTGCGCCAATGCGGAAGGGAATCGCGGGACACCGTCGCAGCTTTGCAGGAGATGCTCTGAGCGTCTTGTAGAGACGTAGACTCGTATACGCGTGGGACGGGCAGACAGAGATGCTTTGATGCGCTGCAGACTTGCAGTGCCGAGCTTGTTGCCGGGGCACGGAAAGATATGCAATGTGCGCGGGTGCAGGATGCAGGCCGAGCGTGCGTGGTGGTGGAGGCGCGTTTCACACGATGAGTATGTAGAAGCATGCGTCGCTCCTTGATGCGCCCGGCCAGGCCTGATGGCTATTGCGAAGCCCATTGGGCCTTCGTCGTGCCTATGGGTTGTTCATGTGCTGTGCCGGCCCATAGCCCACTGGTCGTGTTGTGCCGGGGAGCACTAATGGGCGATCAGTCGCGCCCTCTGCACGGCGCGCGGTCAGTTATAACCCGTCTAGTCTCTCCTCTCTACTACTAGGGCGGTGGATGGTGCGTCGCTTGGAGCGCCTGCGTTTTGTTTCTCTTTTCTTGGGAGTGCCCGCTTTTCCCTTTTTTTTTTGTTTTTTTTCGGTTTCTCTTTTTTTTTTTGGTTTTTTCTGTTTTTCTTCCGTACCTTCCGTTTCGTTTTTTTTCTGTTTTCTTTCTTTCCATATCTTTTTCTGTTTTTAATATGTATGTATGCAAACTTTATATACGTACAAATACAAACTTTGTATACGTGTATTTTTTAGTTTTTATACGTACATATACCAATTTTTTATACATGTATACAAAGTTTATATACACATTTATAAAATTTATATACGTGTATTTTTTTTAGGTTTTTATACGTACGTACAAATACAAACTTTGTATACGCGTATACAAACCTTGCATCCCGTACGTACATATATATAAACTTTTTATACACGTATGTAAAGTTTGTATACGCGTATACCAAGTTTGCATATATACAAACTTTGTATATGTACATATTAAAAACCGAGAGAAAAAACACGAATAAAAAAAACAAAACTTGGTATACATATGAATATAAAATTTGCATACGTATATCTTAAAAAAACCAAAAAAAGGAAGAGAAACAAAAAAAAGGGAAAAAAACCAAACAGAACGAGAACCGAACAAAAAGGAAGAGAAACCGAACAAAACCGAAGAAAACCAAAACAGAAAGATAACCGAAAAAAGGAAAGAGAAATGAAAAAAAAAAGGAATCCCGCGCGGGCGCCGTCAGCCACCCCCTCCGTGCGCGACACGTGTCCAGTCGCGCGGCGGAGGGCGCGTGCGATTGTTCGCCGATTAGCTTTTTCGTTTGTGCTGCCCGCCATGCCCGTTGTCTAGGCCCAGGCACGGCCCATATACGGGCCGTGCTTTAATTTCTAGCGTGCTAGGCTATCATGTCTTGGGCCGGCCTGATAAAGCACGGACCAAATCCCAGCTCTGAGACATGTTTAGAGCTTGGTGGGAGAAATCGGACTACCTCTAGGAGTGCTGAAGATAATTTATTGATCTGGACCGTGAAGCTGGTTCTCCATTAGCTTCACAACCCCATGTGGATAAGGTCAGAGCTCATCCTAATTTGTACATTCATGTGTTGACCAACAAGTTAAGAGAGACATGGGATGCAACTGATGCTTTCACGGCTAGCGTCTGCCTTCCAAATAATTTACTCTGCTATCTCCAAAATAATAACTTTGCAAGATAAGATTGCTACGATCATCAATTCTTATAGAGTAAATTTCACAAAACTACAGATACTTTGAGCAAATTATCACAAAACTACAGATTTATGGTGATGTATTATAAAACTACATATTTAACACTAAATTTCACAGAGAACTACAAATAGGTGGGGTATCGTAAAACTATATAGATTTAGTAACAAAGTAACCACAAAACTACAGATTTAGTGTCAACTTAATCACGAAACTTAGACGTTTATAACTCAAACATAACACTAGTGCTATGTACTCCAAAATATATATTTTTATGATAACTTTATTACTAAATTATAGTTTTGCAGTACTCTACCTTAAATCTGTAGTTCTGTGATAAATTTAGTGTTAAATATGTAGTTTGTGATACATCACCTTAAATCTGTAGTTTAATTTTGTGATAATTTGGCTAAAGAATGTGTGGTTTTGTGAAATTTACTCATTCTTATTTTTTTTTATTGAAGTATGCAACTGCCTCCATATGATACTTATGAAAAGTTTGTCTCATGAACCACTGACTTATCGATTGATTCTCTGTAGCCATTGATTGTACTACGACTGACTTGAAAGAATCTTACCACCTTACTTTTTATGTGCTATTTATTGTATTTTATTTATTTTCTCCTACAATATAATGTAGATGAACCTTTTTTTTTTCTCTCCTAAGGGCTCTATGTATTTGCTCTTCTCTTTCGACTAATGGGAGAACCTTTTGTATTTCATTTATGGCACAATCGAACCACATGATGTGAGATGACGATCATTTTGGCATGGCGAGAAAGGGCACCGACGTAAGTGTAGGGTTGATTGCAAAGCTGATCGGTAACTCCATATATATGGGAGAGAGAAATATGGATTTGCTCTTTTTTGCAAAAAAGAAAAAAAAAACAGTGTTGCTCCTAATGGTGACTGGGTCATGTGAATAGGATAGAATAGACGGAAAATTCTTTTTGGTGGCAGGCATATAAGGAAAAATAATATGAATTATCTTGTAAAAGGGATGTAGATCAAATATTGGATGGTCATGAATGGTTTGGACTTTTTTTTTTTTGTCTATGCACTTATTGTGAAGTTGTACATTAAGAATTACATAATTTCGAAATATGGAAATGGTATGATGTTATTTTATGCTTGATTGCCAAAACATACACATTCTTTTTATTATTTAGTTAAATACTATCGTAGCGTTAGCATGGACAAGTTGCTAGTCAATTGAGTGACTCATCCCATAGTGCATTTCACCAGAAAATAAAATATTATTTACGGTACATAACTATCCTCTTTTTCTGAAACAAATTTCTTTATTCCAAGGATCAGACATATAAGTTATGATCCATAGTTCACAATCAAACAGTACATATATAACAAAGAGCAATTAAAACATATTGTTTTACAAAAACAAACAAATGTGCTATAGCACGGTAACATCACATGCCCTTCGTTCTGATGACGATTGCCAGCAATATACACAATAGACATTTTCTTTTGACGTGAATGTACACAATAGACATCAAACCACACCATTATTTATTTTCCGAGTAGTTCCACCATTTCTTGTACTTGGACTGCTGCATGATGCATTATTCGGCCTGCTGGTCTATTGTATTCGTTGTAGTCATTACATCCTGAATCATTATAATATCACAAATTTTGTTCATGCCATTATTATAGGCTTATAAACAATCAAATCATTTGGTGCATTTCAACATTGTACGTCCGACAGTTCAAGTTGTCTGAGAGAAAAACAATACTATGCATAGGTAATGAAAATCAGCATAAACTCAGATGTATCTGCAACTCTTATTTGTTGGGATACTTAAAACAAATTAAAATAAACAGTTAACATGCTTGTAACAAGGTATTGTATTTTAATATGTATGTGTAACTGAAACACAATTAATAGCACACATAGATTTAATGTAAACCTTTAGAGTTTTCCACTTACAGCTTGTGTTTGTGGAGTACTATAGAATGCATGAATGTCAAGCTGTCTAGTTGTCTCAATGCCAGGATTGTTCTTGACTATGTTGTGCTGAATAGTGCCATATGCCATAGCAAGTTGTCCAGTCCCACCGACAATGGCCCACTCACCAGTTTCTGGAGTAGTCCCCATCACCTGAAGCTTTGATCCATTAAACCTGTACCATTTCAAAATTATTATGCGCCACAAGAATCTACAATAATTGAAGCACATGAAGCAACTAAAATTGTGAAATAATTAATCCATTAGTCATGGATGCTGCAATCAAGTTAACAAGCATCAGACTATCATGAACTAAAAAGAAATCGAAGCGCAGTTAAGCACATATATTGGTCCTAGTTCAATGCTGTGGACAAAAAAGAGTTATTAGCATGATGTTGTTCAATAAAAAATATAAAAACTTGTTAGTACCTGGCATCCACAAACTCTATGTTCATAGATGTGTACCAGGTGTTGTTAACTTGATCAACCTGGACATGCATTCCTCTTGCATGTGCAACAATAGTACTTGTGTTGAAGTCAGGTCCATCATAGATAGGCCAATCGTTGATAACAATCATACCAAACGAAGCGGGATGTGATGAGGGCACCATTGTTTCTTGGTTGTGGTTTGGCCCTGTAACAACTTGGTGCAAGTACAATCTCATGGTAATCTCACACTGATCGCGGAGCACAGGCCGTACTGGAATAACTTTGAAAAATGGACTAGCCATGGCTAAAATGTGCTTTGGTAGGACTGGCAAAGTGGAACTAGGAATTGTTTGATTCTTTGCTTGGTGTCGATGATCAGAGATGGTGTATGGCTAGCTGTATTTATAGCGTAGTGGTAGCACTCTAGTTCATGAGGCCAACTCAGAGCTTCATCGATTTTCTCGTTTGCATTCCCTGGCTATAGCATTTAGAAGAAGTATGGAATAATGTCACAACCAAACAAGGTCAGATGTCTAATTCTTTTGCCCCCACTTGCATTAGCCATCCAACATTTTTTTCCCCTTTATTTTCACTGGTACACAACAAGAGATCCCTGCCAGTTTTCGAAACGGCAGGCTGCATGTGGCGCAGTGATGGAGTTGGAGTTGACACAAAAATATCCCTGGAGGTTTGTCATTCCAGGTTTAGTCCACCAACCGGCAGTGATATGGATTTGCCGCGAAAAAAAAATAGTCCAGTCCAAATGTGCACGAAAGATGACGGTTTGTATATGGGAGAGTAAACATTTTTGTTTTTTTGGAGCTAATTATCCATCATTTCTTTTGAGGTGCTTATTTAAAAGGATTGATAATGCATCTAGAGACAGCCATGCATTATGCATAGAGCTAATTCTATCAGTGTTTTTTTTTCTCTAAGTTTTACGAAGTTATTATCAGTGAAAAGAAGAAGCAGTTCATCATTCAAGTAAGATACCCTGGGAAAATCTGATTTTGCGGTTCCTCAACTCTTGGTCCAAAATTATACATTAGCAACATGAACATCAGAATAACTTCAAAAGACATCTCAAATTTTTGGTTTGAAGGTGTTTTTTTGCGTGATTTGATTCTTACATGGTACATGCCTGACATATTATTAACTTCTGTCAAAAATTAAGGTGGTTATTAATTGTTCCTGTAAATTCATGGGAAATCATAAACAGCCAGTCACTTGTGGCAAACAACAAATTAACATTCATTAATATATATTCTTAAGGAAATTGTAATAATGCAATATTGTTTTAATACACATTATTTGGTTCGTCATTTATTATATGTGTGATTTAAAATTAAACAAAACTTATATGCGTCATTTATATTTTCTCGCATTTTCATACCTGTGTCCTTTCAATAGAGAAGTATCTTGTAGTTCTGATAATTTTTCTCTAGCGTGGTTAACGGAAGGTGCATTCCTTTACCTGCATATACGGTGTGAGTGGTGCTGTGTAGCGGTTAATCCACAATTGTATTTTAGAAAAGCATGTATGTATATATTTGTCCTTTGGTGTGGTCTGGTCCACCTGTTAGGGTTGAATTTTCAAGAGATGACAAATATGGCACTTTACAGAAAACAAATATGATGACAAATATGGCACTTTACAGAAACACTAGAGACATGATGAATATGAAACATATATTCCTTTTTTTTTGAGGTTCAAATCGAAAAAAAAAGAAGCCCTGATTATCAGTGTATGCGTTTAGTATTAGAGTTAGATTAGATTTGTATAGATTGTATCCGTATATAACTTTTATTTAAGAGTTTGTTGTAATCTCTATTGTATTGGATATATAAATACAATCACCCTCCCACGTTGGGTTGTGAGGCGTTGTGAGGCGTCTCATAATTCTCTACATGGTATCAGATACCAGTTTCCTTCTACCCTAATTCACCGCTTCCTCTGGCCTTCGCTTTTTCCGCGTTCGCTTCTCTTCCGCTGCCCACGCGACTTCCACGTCCCCACCACCGCGCCGCGCCCCAGCGATTTCCCCTCACGATCTCGCCACGCCCCAGCCCCACTGCGCCTTCCATGTCCCCACCGCGCCACGACGCACCGCGCCGCATCCTCGCTCGTTCCGTGCCGCGCCCTGCCTACATCGCGCCGCGCCGCGCTCTGCCCCCATCGCGCCACGCCGTGCCCTGCCCGCGCCGCGCCCTGCCCTGCTCTGCTCACGCTGCGCCGCTTTCTGTCTTCGCCACGTCGTGATTATTCTGCCTCTCTGCCATGTCTACCGAGTCCACCTCCTCTTCCACAACCTCGGGAACAATGGCATCTACATCATCCGGCTCTACTCCATCTTCTGCTGCCAGCACCGGGGATTCTACCGGCTCGATCTTCGTCAACCCGTATGCCACCGTCAACGTCAAGACTCACATACCAATTACCCTGGAGCTCAAGCACCCCAATTTCAACAAGTGGAAGACCTTCTTCACTTCTATGTGTGGCAAGTTTGGGCTCCTTCCTCACATTGATGGCACTGCACCCCCTCGTCCCGACGACTCGACTTGGGCACAAGCCGATTGTTGTGTTCAGGGCTGGCTGTTCGGCTCCGTTTCCGATGCTATCCTCGACGTCGTCATGGAAACCGACCAGACCGCCCGTGACCTATGGCTCGCCATCGACGATCTCTTTCAAGCAAACAAGGAACCCCGCACCATCTATCTCAGTCACGAGTTCCACTCAATGACGCAAGGTGACATGCCCATTGCCGATTATTGTCAGAAGGTGAAGACTGCTGCCGATGCCCTCCGCGACGTCGGCCACCCCGTCACCGAATCTCAGCTTGTCCTCAACTTGCTGAGCGGCCTCAACTCTCGTTTTTCGAGCACCGCCGACAACATCGCTAGCGCCCCTGTTCTGCCCTCCTTTGCCTCAGCGCACAACACCTTGTTGCTCAAAGAGCTGCGAATTGCCAATGCACACAAGGTCCAGGCTGAGACAACCATGGTGGTGGCTGCCTCCTCTGCCAATGCCTGCACTTCCGGCACCTGTGCGTCCTCTTCTTCATCACAGTCTCATGGCGATGTCTCCAACAACAGTGGTCGCCGCAACCAGTGACGCTACAACGGTGGCCGGAACAACAGCAGTGGTGGCGGCAATGGCGGACGACAGAACAACAGCAACGGCGGCGGCTATGGCAACTTCGGGAACAATTTCCAGCAGCAGCAGCACCAGGCTGGGCCACGAACTACCGGCCCATGGGTCTGTTTCAATCCATGGGCTGTGCAGCAGCAGCAGTCTCCCTGGCGTCCCAGCAACAGTGCCGGTCTGCTTGGCCCATATCCTCAAGCACACACGACATTTGCAGGCCCATATGTCTCTCCACCAATGCCGGGCTTGCCACCAATGCAGCAATCTCAGCCCAATTGGGATCAGGCAGGTCTGATTGCTGCCCTCAATCAGTTGTCCGTGCAAAGTCCAAGTCCTTGGGTGCTTGACACAGGAGCCACTTCACACATGTCCTCTACCGACGGTATTCTCGATACTCGTCTTCCCAATTCCTATACCTTCATTACCGTTGGCAATGGTCATACTATTCCTGTTATTTGTCATGGCACTTCTTTTCTACCTATAGGAACCACTAAATTTGATCTTAAAAACATCCTTGTCGCCCCCTCTTTGGTTCGCAATCTACTTTCCATTCGTCAATTCACTCGTGACAATAACTGTTCCATTGAGTTTGATGAGTTTGGTTTTTCTGTTAAGGGCCTCCGTACCCGGCGCGTGATTCTTCGCTGCAATAGTCGTGGTGACCTCTACACTCTACCTATTGCTGCACCTGCTATTGCTGCCCACAGCTTCTTGGCCCAATCCTCTACCCTGTGGCATCGTCGTCTTGGTCATCCCAGTTCAGCTGCTATTCAGACTCTCCACAAATTAGCTATTCTTCCTTGTACTAAGATAGATCATAGTTTGTGTCATGCGTGTAAGTTAGGGAAACACACGCGTCTACCTTTTTCTCGGTCTCAGTCTAGTACATCTTCTCCTTTTGAGCTTGTTCACTGTGATGTGTGGACCTCTCCTGTCTTGAGTACTTCTGGCTTTAAGTATTATTTAGTGGTGCTGGATGATTTTAGTCACTTCTGTTGGACTTTTCCTCTTCGCCATAAGTCTGATGTTCACCAGCATATTGTTGAGTTTGTTGCTTATGTTACGACCCAGTTCGGCTCTTCCATTAAGTGTTTCCAGGCAGATAATGGTACCGAATTTGTTAACCAAGCCACTACCTCGTTTCTCGCTAGCCGTGGAACCTTGCTTCGCTTATCCTGTCCTTACACTCTCCTCAAAACGGCAAAGCCGAACGCATGCTTCGCACAATCAACAATTCCATTCGCACCCTACTCATACAAGCATCCATGCCTCCTTCTTACTGGGCCGAAGCTCTAGCCACAGCCACATACTTACTCAATCGAAGACCCTCAACTTCCGTCCACAACTCCATTCCGTTTCAAATCCTGCATCACAAAGTTCCTGATTATTCTAATCTTCGGGTTTTTGGTTGCCTCTGTTATCCTAATCTTAGTGCCATGACTCCTCATAAACTCTCTCCTCGATCCGCTGGCTGTGTTTTTCTTGGTTACCCAGCTTCTCACAAGGGCTATCGTTGTTTGGACATTTCTACCCGTCGTGTTTTCATCTCTCGTCATGTGGTTTTTGATGAACAGACATTCCCGTTTGCAGCTATTCCCCAAACTGCTTCTTCTTTTGATTTTCTTCTACAGGGTGTTTCTAAAGCGGTAGCTCCGTCCTCCTTGGACGTCGAGCGTCCGCGTTCTCTACCGGTCGCTCCCTCTCCTGAGGTCGAGCCGCCGGATGACTTGGCCGGCCCTGATATGTCTCAGCTTCTTCTCCATAATAGAAGGCTACAATCATCGCAAGCTCCAGAACCAGCTATATTGGCGCCTTCCAGTGCATCCTCTAGTGCCGATGCTAGTACTACGGGCGGGAGCATGTCTTCTTCATCACCAGTGCAAACTATATCGAGTTCTTCTATTGCTCAGCCGCCTGCCTTGCATGGTGTTGCTTCTGCTCGGCCGCTGATTTCTCCATATCACCATACGTATGTGCGTCGTACTCAGCCTGTGGCGGTTCATGGTCCTATACGCACCACCAGAGCTTTTCGAGCTGCACAACATTCACAGGATCAACAGCGTCATGCTATGGTAACTCGCTCTCAGACCGGCAATCTTCATCCTGCCCAGCGCTTCAATTATACCGCTATGCAGACTTCTGTTTCGCCAGTTCCTTCCAATTATCGTAGTGCTTTGGCTGACCCTAACTGGCATGCAGCTATGGCTGATGAGTACAAGGCTCTTGTTGATAACAACACTTG